AGCCTTGGTTTTAGTGCATACCCCAATTCATCTAAACTAAATCCCCACCACCCTGAAGTAATCTGTCCTGACAGTGAAGAGGATAAAGTATCATTTGGCCAAGTTCCCAAAGAACATGGTCTTGCTCTTGCCTTGATTTACCTCACCTGAAGATCAGTTCAAACTGGTTGCAGATATTAACCGGCCTGCACAAGCACAGCGGTTCTGAGCAGAAAATAGTAATGTCGGCCACGATAGGACAACTTTGACTTGGATGCCTCTGCTATCTGTGATAGTGACGACTCTTATGTCTGCATCCTTCTTGATGATCACGGCAACAGCTTCTATACAACACATGAGGGAGAGGGCCTAACTCCAGATTTGTTTGACTGGAAAACACAAAGTTATCCATTGATTAAAACTGTGCTACTGATATTTGTGTACTGCAGTTGTAAGCAATTGTGGATTCCCTCTCCCAACTCATCCTGGAGAACACATCTATTACATAGATGAGCAATATTCTGTCAAAGGCCTTCTCCAGGTCCAGGCTAATTAGTCATACAAAGGTTTCACAGTTCTCCAACCATTGAAATTCTTTTAGAGTTCCTTGATGTTTTCTGGGTTCAGTTCAGTTTCCATGTCCTATTGTCTGACCTCTGGTCTTCCTGTAGGTGACAAACAATCAACAGGAAGCAATGATCAGAGAAGAATACCATCTAGTCTGCTGTCAGCCATGCCAGGTTGTCCAGCCACACCGACAATGCAGTAGAAACCACTGTCCAGAATGACCGACTTGGTCATTGCCAACAGCAGTGGGAGCGGAAGGACATTCAGCCATTCACTGTTTTGAGCTGGGCGTACTTGTGATTTAACTGCAATGGAAGATTTTTGTACATTACATCTGCTATGAGGCATCAAGCCAACATTGCCTTAATGCTATGCACATTAACAGAGGTGATTTTAATATCTATTGTAAAAGGTTTTTTTTTGCTTACTACCACCATTTGTCTTTTGCAGTTCCCGTCCTTGTGTCTGCTCCTGCATCTCTGGAAACATCATAAACTATTTCACTTGTGATAGTTATCAAAATTGTCCTGGTCTGTCCTGTTAGAATTGTCCAGCCTGGGTGGGTTCGCTGGTTCATGCAAGAGATGAGGTTTGGACTATTCCCAATTGGAAAAATTGCTGACATCAGTTGCCCTTCAAGGGTTTTGCAGTTCCTGACTTCCTGAAACAGGGGTGTAGTATCTGTTTAGTGACTGATGTATGCTGGCCTCTTCATTGTTCGCAATGTTTTGGGGTTCAGGCCTCCTCCAGCCTGTGCAAACTATGCCACTCCTTTTGAAGGTGTCTCCCTTGTCCATAAGAAAGGCCTGGCCTTTTACTTTTGGTCTGGGACATGGTTTGGATCCTTCCCGGAATCTTCTTCTTGGACTTCTTCACTAGCTGCAGCCCAATAGTTATTCTGCTAATATTTCCTCCTCCTCCTCAGATTCAACCTGCTGATGTGGAGCAGGTTCAGGGAACTTTGCTGCTATTTGGCAGTCGACTGCTTCATTCTTTCCCATCCACTGCTCCCTCCTGAGCCCTTCTTTGACTTTTTCTACTTGCTGGCAGCAGGGTTGCAAGATTCCTTGCTGGTGGCCATATTCACTTTTCCATGCACATCTCCCTCCTTTTTATTTTCTTCACAATATCTCTGTGTTACTGAGGTAGTGTTTTGGGCAATTCTTGTGAAGTTAATATACTCAGTCTGCTTGCAGTGTCCATTATCTGGTGACCTTCTTTCTTGAATTGTTTTTACAAAAGACAGTGCTGCAATTGGCCATCAACTGGCTGGCATGCTATAGGAATGCAAGATTTTGGGCTTACAATATAGACCAGGACATTTTGGCGTTACTTTATTATAGCTAACATCTTCCTGATCACGGTCTCTCTCCTGCCAGGTGAATTTGATAGAAAGAAGGTAAAGTAAGAAAGATAAACTAATTATAGATTACTAGTCGTTTTATGACATAAAAGGCAGTGGCTAATTCAATTGGTCGCACTTCTAAATGATTCCGGCACAATATTCTAATTTCTGGCTTATGATTTGTTAAATCACACTGAAGTCTAATGAGCAAGTATGATTTTGGGAAAATTCCCAATATTCATTCACTAAAATGCACTTGCTTTGAAAAAGGTGACTGACTTCTGTGATAGCCCTTCTAAGTAGCAGCAATAATTACATGTTCTATTAATGGGAATACCTTAAAAGTTTATGTATTATTTTTAAGTTTACCACATGATTGTGACTTAAGACTACTATTAATAAAGGTGGAGACAACAATTAAGGTGATGCAAAGAATTTGTCATTATTGATGCAAAAATACTGGATCTTTTCAGAAATTGGTTTACGCATTTATGCAACAGTTTAGTAAATTAAAATTAAACATACATCAAAACTGCTAACTTATTAATAGACAAAACGAACAAGCTAATTACAGATTATTGAGGAGTATTTAATACACATTTGAATTAGTGGTGTTTGTAAAACCTGGATTCTTATGGTGTTAATTTATCTGCCTAACAATGCACTGTCACTCATGAATTGCCTGCATTTAACTTCACCGAACACAATGTGATATTTTGTCCTAAAAAAAGCAGAAAGAACTGCAGGTGCTCTATATCAGGAACAAAAGCAGAAGTTGCTGGAAAAGCTCAGCAGGCTGGCAGCTTCTGTGAAGAAAAAGCAGAGTTAACGTTTCGGGTCCTCAGAACCTGACCCAAAACGTTAACTCTGATTTTTCTTCACAGAGGCTGCCAGACCCGCTGAGCTTTTCCAGCAACTTTTGTTTTTGTTCATGATTTTTTTTCTATTCACAGAGTCAGCAAGGAAGTATAGATTTTACATCATTTCACATAAAGACAGAGTATTTTTTAATCATTCAAATGTATATAAGGCTATTTTCCTTTAATTTGAAACTTTTTTATAAGCATAATAAATGGACAGCAATGAAACATACTGAACAGACCTCCAAGACCAACATGATATAGCAATTACAATCAGTCTACAGTTTAAAGACAAAGACCACCAGGAAAGGCTTTTCCATTTATATAAAAGAGTGAAAACTAACACAGTTGTAAGGTGAAGAAAGAAGGTGGAGACCAATTATAAACTTGCAATGTTCTTAGAACTTCGAAGCATAAGACTTCGAAGTCTTACAGTCATGGTCGAGTGATTAAGATAGATTAGAAATCCATTCAGGTCTCTCAGAATTGGATGACACGGATGTTTGTCAACCTCTCAATGAGCGAACCATCATCTTTGTGAAACCCATACTACCAAGTGATAAATATAGCAGTAGTCTAAAAAACAGATCTGCATGCTTCCTTGCATAAAATGAATATCCAGTATTACCTTACGTTCATTGCTATCTTGTACACCAACATCAGTAATCATAAAAATACAAATACTGCTAAAGAATGGCTGTACTTGCTCGCACTGAGAAAATGAATACAATCGGCACAATGCCATGCAAACTTCATTTTTTTTAAAGTTATCCAGAATTTCTCTCTCTAGAAAGCCTAATGTACAATACCTCATTTACATTTACATTTGCAAAAATAAATCAGGTCTGGACTAAATATGCCCCAGTTCGAGTGCTGGTGTTCCCCAAGGTTAATTTGATAAAGAAATATGGATCCTTGTATAAATTCCATTTCAATCTACTTAAAGTTTTAGAGAAAATTGAATCAGAGTATTGTAATGGAATGGCTAAATTAATTATTTCATTGGCAAAGTTGTAAGGCACTACAGACTAAGGAGAACGAGTTCAATCCCTGGTTTATACTCTCACCTGAGGAGGCAGGGGATCAACAATTCATTTTAGTGCCCTTCTGGAATGGTGATAGGATGAAAAAAGAAAGCAAGTTTCATATTTTTGATGTTGCTAAAAATAATGAGTAAAGTTGGATGCCAGTTGGACCAAATTTAGTTGTTATATGCACTTCTTGCCCCAGTGATGGTAAATAGCTTTCTGACAGCATATAGGTTCACACATGTAGGACAGGCATTTTGTTTAGCTAATGGTTAAGCTATTGACAGATATTGAAACTGTCCCTCTGCTGAGTTGTATCTTCAGAAGAGTATTGGCGAAATGTGTGGGTGTACATGCAATGCTTGTGTGAGTGAGAGAAAGAGAACGCTGTATTTTAAGCTGCTTAGGTATATTCCATTTCAAACTTCCTTTTTAATACTCCTTGTCTTGCTGCCTCCTTTCTCTCTTTTACTTTCAGACGCTCCCTAAATCTTATCACTTTGACACACCTTTGGCCACTTGTCCTATCTTTTTATGAATCCCTGTGTCAAATTTGTTTGGTAATTCTCATGTGAATATTCTTGGAATGTTCTGTTGCATTAAAGAAAGAATAAAAATATATTTGATGTTGTAATCAAACTTAAAGTATTTATTACCTTAGGATCTTTCCATAAATATCAGATATTAATTAAAGTCAGATTTATACAACAAATTCACATCAACCTTTGCTTTGACAGCACTTGAACATTTAAAATGAATATGAATCACAAAATCATATAGTCACCTGAATTTTCTAGTTGTGATTTGGAAGTACCATTTTATTTAAAAAGAATACTGACTGATTGCAACAAGCTTGATATATGCTTCTGACCAGCTTCCAAGAGCAAGCATTTGAAATTGATCGAAGTCTTATAGTCATGGTCAAGTGATTAAGATAGATTAGAAATCCATTGAGGTCTCTCAGCATAGGTTCGAGTCCCATTGACAATGGCTTCTAATCAAAAGCTTGCAGAATTAATTACAGGTAAAATATAAGGATTTTGTTTGTGGCACAGTGATAGTGTCCCTACCTCTGGGCTAGAAAATCTGGATTGACGTCCCAGCTCATGTGGAGATATGACACAGTATTCGCAAACGGTTTGATTGTAAGAACATAAAATTGAAGAAAAATGTTATCTGATCACTCCAATCCAATAAAGATGATAAATGGATGTAGCTTACCTGTAATAAAGTCTCAGTGTCTGAATTTCTTCCTCTTGTTCCTTACATCGCTCTAAAGCTTTGTCTCTTTCTTTTTGTGCTGTAAGTAATTCAGCCTGCAAATGATAAGATTTACCTAGTTTCACTATAATTTGCAATGATTTGGCTGTTATTATTTTCTGAAATTCTAAGGGCTCTGCTCTATGGTTTGCTGCATTGCATGCTTCATGACATCATTAATTACTATTCTTGCATATTAGTTAACAGTGAAGGATGTAATAATTGGTTTTAGCCTACATTTTAAAACAAGTATAGCCTAAACTATTTTGCAAGTATTGAGATACTTAACAGTAGAATGCAAGCATTGAGAGGTTTATCATTAAACTTAAATAAAATTACATAAACATACATCCATGAGACATTGCTTTGAAAATTTTAAATAGCCAGTAATACTGAGAAACAGAAATCAGTGACTAGACTGGACTCAGAGACAGACATCATGGACCATATTTTGTGATAAGAATTGACGGGAAAGCATTGCCAGTTACCTCAAGAAAAGCTACCCGAAAAGATTTAGTCAGCTCGAGAACATACATTTAATTTGCTCCATTGCATTTTGAATTTGGCAGAATTTATACTGGATCTGTGGGAACCAGCAACCTGGTAAGCAGTGAGCAGGCTGACTGGCTAAAGAAACTGAAAATTCTCGCAAACAGCAAACACATATTTAATGAATTATGAACATGATTAACATTTAAATGATTGTACTGAAAGCAAAATAACCATTTGAACATGCACATGGAATTAAAGAAGTTGAAATAGAAAAACAAAACTTAAAAATTAAAGTTTAATTATTTTAGAAGCATGCAACTTTTAAATATACGTGAAAAATGAGGCAATGGGTATCCCTTGTACCCCAATAACTAACCTTGTCAGGCACCTTGACCCTCAAATGCATCAAGCACACAGAAGTGCTCCAGGATTTTGGAGTCAAAGCAGCTGCCAGGATGGCAGGCATACAACTCCAGAAAATTGAACAGATGACTGCAGATCACCTGAATATTAATGGAATGGAAGCTCTTCCTATTGATGAACTCTTTGGCATTGAGAAATAGACCTCTTGGTACTTTGTTTTTGAGAAGCCACCTATGAGAAGCCAGCTGAATCCTACAGCCCAGGCTGCAGCGCTCACCTTGTCATAGGGAAGCAAATGAACCATGCAACCTTAAACAAATGGCATCAGTCACTGTCTTGATGCCTTTGTAGATGGATGACTGAGAGATCCCAGGCTGGTATGTCATCCATTGCACACTGGAAGGAGCCAGTTTTATAGAAGTTCAAAGCTGCTGCCACTTTCAAAGCTACGGGGAGAAAATGGACCCCATCTCCTGTAGATCTCAGGTCTCAATCCAGCAGCTGGCACAGTTCCATCACAGTGCTCTGAGAGATATGGAGCCTTTGTTGACACTATGCCTTGCTCATCCTCAGTAAATGAATTCCAGGACAAAAGACCCTGCACTCCCATGGCCGTAATGCATTTTAATGGGCCACACAACTGCAGCCTCTGCTTGTTGCCACTTCTATATTTGCTGTCAAACTTGCTCCTCTTACATGTGCTTTCACCTTTTTAGCAAGGCAGCCACTGCAACCAACATTCCAACTTTAGCTGCATTTGTGGCAAGGATCTATGTACAGAACTTAAGAAACAGAACATGTTCTTAGCTCAGAGAAGAGTCAGTGCTGGCATACCTTGTAAAAGATGGCAACACACTCTTCTTCATACAATGAGACATGCGGTATCCCAACAACGAGGCTATGCAGGAGGTTCTCGTTTTTTGAGACATCCACCAAACATGGTAGAAGTGATGCAGCGACTGAGGTAGCAACATGTAACAGTACATTGGGATTGTTTCATGCATTTGGAATCTTTCCCACTTTCGCCCTACATCAATACTGCATGCAGAAACCTCTGTCATTATAATCCCTATGCAGGTGTAGAGGGGATTGGTTCTGAACCCCACAGTGCCCTTGGAAGTCTCGCAAGTATTGTGTTAGTCATGGCCAGAATCCTCCTCTTTTAAATTTGATGATGATAACATGTGCGTTTTTGAGATCTCTATATGCAATATGCCAGAATCAGTGAAATGATGGATATTGCCTGTGACCAGCGTTTAAAACCCAAATACTTTCACATTGAATACATTTCACATGTATGATGTCATGGCTGCAAATGGAGTGCATCTGCATTTTGCAAAAGCATCAGTGTATGATTGTTGACTTTGTCTATTCAACATCCTCCAGTTCAGAACTGGAATCCATGGTTTTGAACAAACTGGCACTGATGCTGCCCACCCTCGGTATTTTCTAGTTGCAGTTCATTTCTAGCAACAGCAAGTGATGGCAGGAAACACAGCTTGTGCAGGATACACTCAGCACCAGGCTCAGTCAATGACTAACTTTGACAGATATCCCCAAGAAAACATTGACCAAACCTCTAACTGATGGTACACAATTCCCTTGACTGCTTGTGACGGCCCTACAGCTCAAAATGTAGACAAACCCCTGGACTTTAGGTGGATGTATCCCCTGAATATGACTGCTCAAGTGGATGACTAACTAGCCATTGCCTGTCAGTCGTGTGACCCTTGAGTTACAGCAGCTCCTGTTTACTTGACCTTCTTAGTAGGCATTTTGCCACTCTCTAGTGAGAATATCATCTCAATGGAATGTCTGAAAATGCAATGAGTTGTGGCTCCGATGTAGAGAAATGCCTCGATTGAATTCTCATGTGATTCTCCCACAGTTCTCATCATAGGCCAGTAGCTGGCTGGTTGTAAAGATTCTCTGAGACTTTTCTGTCCGATTCTCTTGTTTTGGAGCTTTCAGGCATACAGCCCCCACCGCACCACAGTATCTCTCATCAAGACTTCCACATAACACAAATAGGAGTAGGTTTCTAACCCATATATTTCCCAGGTACTGCACCTGAATTACAAACCACTAGCTGCCTTCTAACAAATAATAAGACTGACATTACAACAAATAAACATGTCACATTGTACTTCAGACACACAGTTCGTAAGATGTTGGGTGCTTCAGGGCAATCTTTAAAATTCTTTATAAAAGCCAAAAGAACTGCGGATGCTGTAAATCAGAAACAAAAACAGAAATCGCTGGAAAAGCTCAGCAGGTCTGGCAGCATCTGTGGAGAGAAATAAGAGTTAATGTTTCATTTCAAGTGACCCTTCCTCAGAACTCAGGATGCTGCGAGACGTGCTGAGCTTTTCCAGCAATTTCTGATTTTGTTTAAAATTCTTTAACTAAATAACTGAGTTCTGAATGACCCCTATCTATTTTCTATGAATTAGACTTTATAGTCTGAATGCTGCTGAACATCTCATTGTGCAGTGCATTATGATCCTGCAAACATCATGAGCCTAACAATTTATTGAGAGTACCAGCACACAGGAACTGTTATCCTTTTTGTTTTTACCTGTCATATATGTGTAAGCTTCCTTCTTTCACTCAGTAACATTTATTTCTGTCTCATTCTGGAAAATCACATGATTTGTTATGGGGTCATATGGTGTATGATACTTCTTCAATCAAGAAAAAGGAAAATATATTGTTTTAGTGATGCTGCGTTAGTGCAACAACAGTTTAGCGTGCTCCAAGGATGCAATTTCTAACTTGACAGGTTTAAGGTTAAGGTTAAGGTTAAGGTTAAGGTTAAGGTTAAGGTTAAGATGATTTAAAAAAAATTAAAATTCCTTTATTTGCCAGCTGTTGAAACAAATGTGTATAACTACTCTTTTTATCCAACAGCTGGGAAGGAGGACAATTGATTGTCACTTTACCAACAGTCAGCTGCCTTCCTATAATTATCTTTGTTCCAAAGCATAGTTGATAAGAGCAGAAAAGGCTGGCCAACATGTCGAAGAACGAAGTTGCAGGGTGGCAAAATACTGCATTATATAATTTAGTCAGCAGTTTAACAAATGGATAGTCTTACAGCTTGTTATATGCCACTTTAAATTTGTTAATCATTTCCTACTTTGGCAGCTATCACATAAACTCATGTTTGTTAAAGTTACGATTTATCTCCTCTGGTTAGCTTTCCCATGAAATATTTAATAAAATGATCTGGATGAAGGAACTGAGGGCATTGTTGTTAAGTTTGCAGATGACACAAACACAGAGGGACAGGTAGTGTCAAGGAAGTGGGGAGGCTGCAGTCAGACTTGGACAGGCAAGGAGAGTGTGTAAAGAAGTGGCAGATGGAATAAAATGTGGGAAAGTGTGAGGGTGTGCACTTTAGTAGGAAGAATACAGGCATAGACTATTTTCTAAACAGGGAAGGCTTTGGAAATCTGAAGCACAATGGGTCTTGGGATTCCTAGTTCAGGATTCTCTTAAGGTTAACATGTAGGTTCAGTTGGCAGTTAGGAAGGGAAATGCAATGTTTGCATTCATTTATAGAGGGCTAGAAATACAAGAGCAGAGATGTACTGCTGAGGCTGTTTAAAGCTCTTGTCAGACTGTATTCAGAAAATTGAGAGCATTTTTTAACTTTTTTTTTACTGTGTGGAAACAGGCCCTTTGGCCCAACAAGTCCACACCGATCCTCAGAGCATCCCACCCAGACCCATCCCCCTGTAAACCCACCTAATCTACACATCCCTGAACACTACGGGCAATTTAGCATGTCCAATCCACCTAACCTGCACATCTTTGGACTGTGGGAGGAAACCAGAGCACATGGAGGAAACTCACGCAGACACCGGGAGAATGTGCAAATTCCACACAGACATTTCCCGAGGGTGGAATCGAACCCAGGTCTCTGGTACTGTGAGGCAGCAGTGCTAACCACTGTGCCGCCCTGTATCTATGAAAGGATGTGCTGGAATTGGAGGGAGTCCAGAGGAAGTTCACAAGAATGATCCCAGGGATGAAGGGCTTGTCAGAGGATCATTTGAGGATTCTGGGTCAGTACTCAATAGAGTTTAGAAGGATGAGGAGGCATCTGATTGAAACTTACAGAATAGTGAGAGGCCTGGATAGAGTGTATGTGGAGAAGATGTTTCCACGAGTAGGACAGACTGGGATCTGAGGGCAC